CTCCAGTTTGCTAGAACCAATTCTGGTCGTTCTTTTTCCTATCGACAGTACTCGGTGACCTCTAGTGATCAAGACTGCAGGACGATGAGATATAGGCCTACTGTGTATATTTTAAAATCAAAAAGGTGTCGCAACCCCTGTGAAGCTTGGCTTTGACCCCCAGGCTGGGAACCACTGCTTTAGAGCTATGTTGCTAGCGTTGTAATACAATACTACAATATTGATCATGTTTACCTTGTGTCCCTCAGGTACGTGACCTTTAATGACAGACAGGACGTCATGGAGGGTCAGTCCAGTCATCTCTCCATCCCCCAGGCCCATCACATCACACAGCACAAGTCCATTTGGATCCTCTCCCTTCTGATCACGGATTTTGAATGACTGCAGCTGACACAAAAAAAAAGAAAGTTAATGAGATGGATGTATAAATCATGGAACAGCATTCCTACTGAGTAGGTTTGCATTGTCTTATGATGTTCTTCATTGTTATAATGTAGTTTTTTTTCAGTATCTCAATATTTTTATAATCCCCTAAGAAAAGTCAATAGTTTTAGTGATTTCTCTTGGTTACATGTACCTTCTTGGTGAAGCTGGTCGAGGAGGAGCCCACCATGGCCCGGTTAGTGACTCTTCCACTAAACACAGACTGGACTGAACTGATGAAGCTGGACTTTCCAGAACTGACCGGGCCCAAGAGGAGAATCCGAGCCTGAGTCACCTCTTCACAGCTCGGTTTGTAGGAGCTGACGGTCTTCATCAGGCTCGTCTTTTGTCTAGATTAGAATTTAAGATACCTGCTGTTCAGAATAATTTTAATAAGCAGAATAAAAGCATACAAGCAGTATAATAACCTCCATATCTTGCACACCTTAGCTTTCCTTTTCACTGCTTTGCTGTGTGCCCCATTCTTTCGCAAGCATATTGGAATGTAAAGGGAGGGTTTAGGGGTTTTTTAAGGTTTTTCTTTAACATCTTCCATAGACATACTCACTCCTAAAACAACTCTCAATTTTGCTATTGCTCTGGGGATATGAGCTTTCACATTTCCCCCCTTTAGTGACAACATTTCCAGTAACTTTTACTGCTGTTGTTTGCTAACTGTGTGTATCAGCACTTTGTATGTAGCATATTAGATCCTGCCAATCACTTCCTCAATTGTGTTCAGGATAATTTGAAAGTAGAATAAAGGCATACAAACAGTACAATAAAATAATGAGAATAGTTTGCCTTCATTGAATGTCACAGCTATACTCACTCTTCTGTCCACTCCACATCTCTCCAGTGAGATTTCAACTGCGGTTGAGCTGCTGAAGAGAGAAATGAGGTTTAATGAAATATCCAGTGTTTGCTATGTTTCACCTCTTCTGAAAAGAAAGAGTTTTTGAGCATATTTAGCCCCCTAAAAATGTGATAAACTAAACATCGACATTCGCAGCACTGCCACGACAACAGGGGTTGCTGCTCGGGCCCTAAAAATGAAGGCAACCAATGGCTTCATATTTTGGGGGAATTATACCACCTGCGCAAAGTTTTTCTTCTTTGTTACACTACAATACATTGCTTACAACTTAAAACTGCATTTACTCAACTTTTCACACAAAGTTTGCAAACCATTTAACACAAGTGTTAGACACTAGGGCTGCTCCTGACTAAAGATTTGTGTATATTTTTGTCACATATTTAACATATTAATTAAATTATTTGAATGTAGAATTTAACAGTCGCCTATTAAAGGATAAAGGAAAAAGCAGAAACTAGGTCGCTAATGCTCCTACCAGCTGACTATACCTGGACTGCAAGCTTGAAGTACCGGAGGTGGTTTGTTTACACCACGAGCTTTGGACTGACTTTTTTCATTATATGGACTTCTCTGGATTCTCTCTGTACTGCCTCCACGTGCAGCACTGTGCTCTCCCCCGCAATTACAGCATTTAACAAGGGCATCTTTTCCTCTTTTACCTCTATATCTTGCACACCTTAGCTTTCCTTTACACTGCTGTGTGCCCCATTCTTTGGCAAGCATATTGGAATGTACTCCCTTACGCTGCTATTCATGTAACCCATTTGCACTGATTTAGAAAGGGTTTTCTTAAACTGAATTATTACTGATATGGTTTTCTTCAGTAAACCATCCCGTCTACTCTTAATCCCTGTGGCATCAATTACTCTCTCCTTGAATCTCTTTTTTATCATCTTCCATCGACTCCAAAAATAAGCTTTCATATTTTTCCCTATAAGTGACGACATTTTCAGTATTTTTTCCTGCTGTCGTTTGTTAATTGTGTGTATCAGCACTTGTTTGTTGTTCTGAGCGTATTTGATCCTGCTGATCTCCTCCTCAATTGCTCTGGTAAGTTTAATCCAGTGATAGTGCCCACTGTCCTGATTGAACTCTTATTACTTTACGCTCGTTTTCTTGTGTTTGACCCATTTGAGTCTGCCTGTCCAACTGACCTCTTCTTGATGTTTTGGTTTTTCTACCCCTGCCAACCTCACTATGATGGGACCAACTTCTCGCCCTTGTTTGCCCATCTCTTTCTCTCAAAGCCCTTTTCATCTGTGTAGACCCAGATACCATCTGCTCCATTTCATTCTCCATCTGAGCTAGTTGACATGATGTCACATTTAGAGTACAGTTCATGCTAATCTGCCAAAACCACTGTTCAACCCTACCACTTTTACTCGTCGCCTTCTTGTTGCTGAACACTCTCGATAAGTCCCTCCCTGTGTTACAAGAGAAAAGGTCTGTGTTACAACAATCCCCTTATACTTCCTTCCCAGGGGCAAGGCAAAGCTTTTGTTGCTGCAACTATCCAACTAATGAAAAGTAGGTCGACTAACACTCTTCTCAGCGACTGACAGTTAAGTCGACTCTTAGGGGGCAGCCCTAGTAGACACTAAATACAGACACTGACTAGAGACTTTTCTGCTTACCATATTTAAGCTTGTTCTTAATGAAAATAAAATTAATTTACAGTATATTTACATTCAGTTTTATCATACTTAGTAGTAGCACTTCAGGAGAGCTCCCAAGAATATTATTGGTCAAACTGATACATTTAGATGAAAATCTTTCCTTTTTTCTGTCTCAAATGAGGAATTTTTTCTTGACAGGTTTCTTTTTTCCTTTTTAGACACCTTCTATATGGAATTGTTAAGTGCATAAAGGGTTTTTGTATGCATTAACTAGAAGGAAACTGGAACACAGCCTCCACACAACAGAGAAAAACTATAATAGCAAGGCAATGCCTCCAATCTTTTTGTAGTACATAATCAGAGGGAGTGCTGGACAGTTCTTGGTGTGAAACTGTTTAGTAGCTTACCTGGTTGTTTAAACCAAGGTTTGGTGTCTGTTGAAGTGACGGTTGTACCTGTCCCAAGATCATCTATGGTTCCCGCTGTTCTGCTGATAGCAGGTTGGGCAAGAGCTTGACCAAAGGAAAAGCCGCCGCTGCTGCTGCTGCTGGAGAGCCTTCACATGCACCACATAACAGTTAATGATAACTGCTTGTGTGCTGCTTTTAATATAATTTAGTTGGACGACTGTCTAGCTCAGATAAGCAACAGTTAACTGTTGTTTTTATTATTTATTTTAACAGGTTTAAAATAATAACATAGTAGGTAACATTACTGCTGCAATATGGTTAAAAAAAATCCTTTTATTATTATGTTGACAGATATATGGTTCAAAATTAGTAGGGATGACCATTTTTGCATCACAATTTAAAGTTTCAACATTTGTAGGCCAGAGAATCAGAAGCAGCGCTAGGTACAGTATTTGATTATAGTGCTGTTTTGACACATTTGAATTATATCAAAGATAAATTATAAATATAATTTAGGCCTATAAAATCTTACTGACCCAATTCTTTGTAAAAACCAACTGAAGCAGCTGACCTAACATACGTTAGTAAAGCTGTGGACAGCCTCAGTCAAACACTGCGTGTCCACAACGTTACTACAGGTTAGTTAATTAAGCTTCACCTGTGCCAGCCTATCAGACGGAACTTTACCTGCGTAACTTTACGCTTCGAGGAACAACTCACCCGAATGTATATTTGTTTCTTTCCTCCATAAGAACTGTTGAATGTAGATGGGTCGAGGAACAACAGCTGAAGAACAGAGGCGGAATAAAAACAAGAGGCGATGCCCTTTCTGGGGAAAAGAAAGTGAAACTTAAACTGTCGGACTGAGGAAGGACGGCAAATGAAACTTAGACAGACAAAGTGCCATTAAGAGGCCTCAGCCGAATTCTTCTTAGCAAATTTTTTGACGTATGAAAGCAGGAAAATTACATTGTTCTATGTATATATTCATTATGGGCATGGCTAAATTACTCCTGGTTCTGGTATTGTGCATGCTGACTCTCTGACTGGCACACCTAAATGCAACTGAGCCACCATTAATGTCATTAATGTAATGCAATGTGCTTTTTCTGTTTTGTACTATGTCTGTTTATATAGCATGATGGTTAGCTTAGCATGGCAGCTGAGGGTGATTGTTGAGTTCATGCTTGATGGGTGCAGCAGGAGTAGGTGGTGATTACTGAATATAACTTGTTCTGGAGGGTTGTGTTGACTGCGTGGGTGCATGTAATGAGGGGTGGTGGTCCTGACCTCCCTGGGGCCCAAAGCAAAAATCTGCTAAGCGGCCCTCCTCCCTGACCTGTAAATCATGTAAACTATTGGCCTCTGCCACACAGGACATCCCAGTGCTCCCACTGCAATCCTCCTTTAGAAGTGGTTTGATCCACCTGTCGGACAAGAATAAGTAGATCTGTATAGAACAGAATGAGGTATAAAGAAATCATAATATTTTATATAGAATATTATATATAAAATATTAACATTGTAAAAAAACAAATTACTCCAGTCCTCACAATATTATAAATTAGCTTTGTTTATACAATGTAAACTTAAGTCTACAGGCTCTGACTTCAGCTGTAAGTGTCTAAATACCTTCATCAGGCCCTTCAAACTAGCTCCCCCACTATGGCTTGACTGAATACTTGATGGTTATTATTTACTGTGAGTTGTGTACCCATATTGCCCAGTAGACTCAGCTAATCAAATTCTTAAAGGGCACTTTTTTGGCTAACAGTGCTGAGCTTTCTCCGTGTCGTATCTCAGCTAAATGCCAGTTATTGAGACGGTGACCACCTGCTATAGACTATTGACCCTATAGACTTGCCTACTTGCCTATTGACTATTCTTCTCACTTTTGGTACCAGGTAATTGTCTCTACTTTGTTTTTCCACTGCAGATATGAACCCCTCAATCCTGAAACAATCCCCAGTGAAACTCCCTGACATTTACTTTTCCAGCAGTTAGAAAACATGCAGTAGCTTAAATGGTGTCAAAACATCGAACACTATTGCACATGTATTGAATGTTTGAATTGACAGTGCAACAAAGGTCTCACCATGCTTGGGTCTTACTGCCAAAGTCAGACGTCAATGTATGTATTTTTAAGTTTCTACTAATTATATCCACTAGAGGGAGCTATAGTCATGTGTTTGAAGCTGTAGATGCTTACCTGCTAGCTGACAGCAGAGGTCAACCTGTGGCCACCCTTCAGTGATTTTCCTCCACAGGGAGACCCTCATAGCCCGATATTCAAAACTTCCTCTTACAGTCGAGGAAAATGTGCCCTGACACACAATCACTGTCATCACTCAGTAGCTTTTAATAACGTTTAATAATGTTCTGATCTGAATATTCATCTGTAATTGATGGTGGTGGTGATTGCTATTCTTTGGATAAGAAACTTGCTTTGTGTGTGTGTGTGTGTTCATTCACCTTGTTGCTATCTGACATTAAAATTGGTCTTTTCTGCGCTCTTCTCTGTCATTTCAGTGATTTTTGATGTGCCCCACCTCCGATGTTTATTAAGCAGCCTCAGATTGTGATTCAGCTCCAGGTACAGTGAGCCCCCGCAGGATTACACTCGGTAAGACGTCAGATAATCTCCAGATTTTTACTACTACCTAGACTCCATTGAGAAAAGCTAGTATGCTTGCTTCATTGGATGGGAAGACTTTTATTTTATTATCAATAATAAATAATTTCATGTTACTAAAATTAACTCTCCTCACTTCCTCTCTTGTGGTTAGAGGTCTAATAGTGGAGCTGAGAGGAGCATGAAAACCCATCAAAGCTAAATAAACATGAAAAAATGTCTGCAGGTTTTTTCAGGGCAGTCATCTGTCGTCCATCTTGGCCATATCAGGTCTGCTTTGGCTATTAGCCTGCGACTGATCGGCCATAATAACACTACAAGACACAGCTATCTTTATGACCTTGTGGCCAAGCGTTTTCCTTTTTCTGTGTCAGCTAATTTTGTTCTTTTTCTGGATCCTCATGTAGAAAGACTTGGAGATGTTGTGCTGCTATTTGGAAGGATACATAAGGGGCTGATTAAGAGATCCTAAACTGATAGGAAAACCTACTGACATTGTTTTATTGTTGTTACACTTTAAAGATTAGGACTTGTGTTTGTTTTTTGTCTTTGAATGAAGTTATGGTATACAAACGGTGGTATGTGGAGTATGATAGCCATAAACAAAAGGCTTATCTCTGCAGGTATCTTTCTCATAATGGTTTAAGACACTTAGAATAACAATTTGAGCCTGTCAGTGGTAAACCAAGCACTTTTAGTGGACGTACTTTGACAGGCACAAGGATTAATTTTAGCTTACATTTGCAGCCCTTTTCACAATTATTTTCACATATAACGGGGAATTGGTGAATTAAGGGTTTATTTCAACCAAACTGGCATTGTAGATTTTGGAAAGACTAACAAAATGGTTTTGGTGACTTTTATATTATTTCTGTTGTTTTGGTTTGAGATGCTGATGCTCTAGTGCTATATCCAGGCAAGTGAATTTCATATATACTGTATGACCTTTAATGTTATACTTGGAGTTGCTCAGTTATCTGAGGGCAACAACCAAATAAAAAATACAACCGACTGCAGCTTAGAGGTTATGACAGGTTGTCATTAAAAGTGAGTGTAACTGTTAGCAATTTAATGGCAGATACTATTTATAGGTTGTTATCTGTGGATGGAGACTTGAGTCCCACAAACCAAAATACACTAACTGTGCAAAATAGACATTATGATTGTCCTGTAATCAGAAAACAAGTGTAATATACACCTAAATAACTTGTGTAGATGTATCAGGGCTGTAGCCAGGCTATTATAAATACTGAGATCATGAGTCCTGACTTTTAAGGATAAGAAATTAGTCCTTGCCACTGTGGCCTACCATATATACATATCCAACCTGAAGTCCCCTCTGTCTCTCTCCCTCCTCTCCTCTCAATCTTCACTTGTTCTATCAAATAAAGGCAAACCCAAGAATATAAAAAAATACTTAGCAGTAGTCTTCAGGTTATACTTTGTGATCATTTCCAGACATATTAAAAAGTGACAGAATGTTTTGATTTTGATGTAAATTTTGCAAGAAATTCAAGCTTAGACATGTAGGAAGAAGGCACCTTTAATCAATGCTAATTGTAATGTAATCCAGACAATGTTGATTTTATTATGTTATGTTATTAATCAAATACAGCATCTGTGGTGACCATTTTCTTTAAAACATGCCACAAAATAATAGAGAAACATAATTATATGAGCCCATATGCCACAGATCTTATCTGGAATATTTAATTTCCAAATAAAAGTTGAAATAGTCCCTTAGATATAGTATGGTAATCAATATCCTGGTAAAATATTCAAAAACCTAGAGCCTCTTATTGCCAAAATAAAAGCTTCCGATATTTGGACCAGGGCTTTTCAGACATGCAGTGCTGCAGAGTGCTGCTACATATAGAAAAAAATCCTGAAACTGTTATAAGTGTAAAGTAATGAACTTCATATGTGTATTTCAGGTACAAACAACACTTAGACTTACTCAGATATACATACTCAGCATAAAAGTGTTTTGTATACCAATTTGTGTTTGGGTTTATAGACATTTTCTATTTTCTGTTGCTTTCTCTCCTTAAGTTGTGGGCTGTGAGTTTAGGAAGACAGATTCAACCCTGACTCAGCAGCTCCAGCTGATATCTGCAGGTGGGAGGAGGAGGAGGAGGAGGAGGATGGGGGGTGGGGGATGAGCTGTCTAAACAGGGAGCAATGCTGACTGTGTAGTCGTGTGACACAGCAGTCTGCTTTACAGGCAACACCCCTCATCACCACCTATCCATTCCACACTGGGTGACACACATGCACTCAACTTATCTCTCTCTCTCTCTCTCTCTCTGCCAGTAGCCTCGATAACCCGAAGTGCAGGGTTGAAATTAAAGCACTGCAGTGATCTGGATCAAACAGGTCTCAGTCTCAGAGTAGACATCTCAGAAAAAGTAGAAGACACAAGACACAAGTACAAGACCACCCACATAGAGCCAGAGTCTGTCCAAGGTTTCTGCCTCTTAAAAGGAAGTTTTTCCTTGCTGCCGCCGCCAAGTGCTTGCTCGTAGTGGGAACTGCTGGGTCTCTGTAAATAATTTCATAAGGAGTACGATCTAGACCTGCTCTATTTTGAAAGTGTCCTGAGGTAACTTTTGTTATGAATTGGCGCTATACAAATACAATTTGATTGAATTGAATACATTTTACTTTACATGTTTGTTTAGTCTTCCAGCTTTTTATCCACTCTTGCCCTCGAAAAATGTCTCACCCCTTGAGTGAAGGGGGGAACAACACGATATGAGCTGTTTGTAAAGCAGTAATGACCTTTTAACTTTTTAAATATTGACTATAGTTATTCCATCAGGACAACCAGTGTGATGTTTTAACTGACAGAAGTAAAATCATTTTTAAATATTGCTCCCTCAGAAGTCTGCTATGTGGACTATTGATTTTTCTAAGAATAGTTGGATATGTGTAATTGCGTTGGGTTTAAAAAGCCCCATGTATTAGGTTTTGAGCCTATTAATTTTTGGTTCCTGGTTTTTAATTATAGCGTCCTTTTTAGGTTAGTCAATGTGTTTTGCAGTTAATGTCACAAGTTATGACCTTGGATAACTGCTTTCTTTTAGCCAAAAAGTAATTTTCTTAATGAAAAGAAAGTGGACAACTGTAGTTGTATCTGTGCTTTATCATTGCTTAGGACAATTAAGACAGTCCTTGGTTTTTTTCATCAGATATGCATGAATCAGGCAGACAAAATGAGAGGTGATATATACCATGGAC